CTATTTTGCTCATATAGTAACTAAAAATAATGGTTTACAAACCTGTGTCAATATAATAAAGGTAAGTGATTTTTTTCCGCTTTAAAAATTTAAATTATGCTCATGATAATTATTGTAAAATTATAAAATATAAAGTAGAATAAATTTTAATGAAGATTAAAGTATTATTAATTATTACATTTAATTCAATATTACCTCGTAAGTTATAATAATAAATCATAATAAAGAACGTTGAAAAATTTATCAAAATTTTTTATAGTTTTCATTATTTAGTGTACTAAAAATTAAAATCAAAGAGAAGTATTCAAGATATAATAACTTGTATTATTAATCAATTAATTTGCTTGTGTAAAGAATAATAATTTGTATTGTAAGTAAATATACATAATGGTATAAATTACGTTAGATACATAATATTAACTAGGTAGTAGTACATTTTGTACCAAATAGTTAGTAAGTACCTTGTGGCTTGTACCTATTATTAGAGCGCAGAATGTTTGTAAATTTGACTTTGAATTCAGTTTTTTATTTTAATTCAACTTTAATGAACATTTATTTAATTTTTTATTAAATATCATTAAATTTTGATTGAAGTATCTTAAAAATCTATAAATACAAACCTTTATCGTTATAAGTTTGTAGGTATGTTATGTATTGTTGTTCTAGGAAAATGAACCTAGTAAATTATATATAATTAAACTAATAATATTATAATTTATGGAAAGTTTTTTTTAAATTACTCTACAATAAAATTAAATTTTATAAAAACTATCTAATTTTATACAGGTATATCTTGTAATTATTTACAGTTTTAACATACAATTTATATTTTAAATTCTTGCAGAATCCATTAATAAACAATCAAAAAAAAGAATTACTAGAAAAAGGAACAAATTGGTTAAACCAAACTGGGATCAAATCTTTGTATAATGTGCTCGATAATATCGATTTGGATATTGGTGTTAACCTTATAAATAGTTGTCGTCATGGCATTCTTAAACCTAATATCATTGTAATTGGTTATAAGCATGGCTGGTTTAACTGCACGGAGGATGATATTCAAACATATTTAAATATATTAAAGTATATATCATTATAATTAGTTAAAGAAGTATGTTTTTAAACAAATTGTATTTGTATTAAAAAGTTTATCAAACATGGATGGAATTGCGACTATAATTGTTCGGCTACCGAAGACAGACACAACCATTGAAAGCGAAGATAAAAAATCAGCTAATAGTAAACAAATACGGTTTTATGAAGGTGAAAGAGTAAATAGTCAAGCATTAATTAACGAAGAAGAAAAATATCAAGCAAAGTAAGAAATGTTTTTCAATACGGTTTTTTTTTATTATTATTTATTTATTTTGCATAGTTTGAAATAATCAAATCATTTTAAACTTAGGGAATTTGATTGTTCTGTAAAAATACACAATACTGAGTTTTCGTTTATTAGAAAACAAAATAATGGGACAGTGGATGTATGGTGGCTATTCGACGATGGTGGTGTGTTAAGACGAAATCAGTTAAATAAGTACGTGTGCCTAAAAAAATATTTACAATAAAACTGAATTTTACAGGTTTGGCGTTGATTATCGCACACATATTTAAATCGAGCGATATCTGGAAAAAATGCAAGTTTCGAATATTCGGTGTGACAGATCAATTCAAAAACGTAGACATGGAGAGAAATAAGTAATAATAACAGCAATAATAGTTTACTTCACGCGTTAGTTAGTTGATTAATTTATCATTGATACGTTTCGAATGATAAAAATATACGTTACTTATAGGCTATTATAGCATTCACTATATGCCGTTTTAACTAAAATAGGACTAAAACTATATTAAAATAATTATAATTATAGTTAAACATAATATTTAAAAATTCAACATTGTATGATAAAAATTATCTTTAGCTAAAATACAACTGTTAATTTCATTGGGCTAAATGCGTACATAGTACATACATAAATTTTACAAAAAAAACTACATGCATAGGTGTTTAGGACATGTAAGTAGTAGGTAAAAATAAACTCAACAGTTAAAACTGTGTATTTTTATATTTTAAATTAGTTAGTATACTTAATGATTAAATTATGCATGTACCATGAACGTTTCACACTTAATTTGTTCGTTATTATCACCGTTTACAGTTTGTATTGTTACCCATTTATTTAATTGTAATATCAGTACCAAATCAAATTTTAGTAATTATACTTTATTCTACTGATTATGATAAAATAAATTATTTAATCCGCACTCTCCGACGTATATTAAGTATATAATAATTTATATTTGGTTATTTAGTTGGTACATCATAAATATATTTTTTTATCATTAAAGCCATAATATTATATTGATTCCTATATGGTTATAAACAATGGTATATGTTATATCATGCAAACTACTGTATAAAATAAGATGGGACAGTATAATTCTATTTGTAAAAAAAAAACGGCACGAACGTGTCAGGAGAATTCATAACTTAATAATTCAAACTCCAATTTATTGTGTTAGAAAATAACTATTATTCGTGTTAGACTTTGATAATCAGGAAATTAAATAAATGCTATTTTCAAATTATAGCTAACAATAAATACAAAACAAATTATGATTTTCAGGTTAAAACAGTTACTATCAATGTATCGGATTCAATTTGATTTTATCGACGTTGTATTAGCAAAAGCAACTACTCTAAAAACTATGGCCAAATTTACAACTTTATGGAACCAGCAGTTTATTAACCCGAGTAAAATAATTAATATTTTTATTTTTACATTTCTATGATTTGTTTATGATTCATCAATCTAATTTATAAAATTATAGTTATACTTCAGCATGCTTATTATATCTACCAACATGGCTACATACGATACTATAAGCACGATAGGTGACAGAATAAAAATGTTAATTCATAACACTATTATTAATTTTATTAAAGTAGCCAGTTTGTATTCCTTAGAAATCTCCATAAAAGTTTAAAATTTATTTCATCTCTTGATTAAGCGTTTACATAAGTAACTTACCGACCCAAATAATGAGCACTATTATTAACTAATCTTAATGACTATTCTAATACAGGGGTCGGTAACCCGCGGCCCGCAAAGCAATTTTTGATGGCCCGCACAAAGGTGATTAATTTTTGTATTTTAATTTTGTTCGATAACATTTTTCATATAATTTTCAATATTATATAATTCTTTTTTCTTTTTAAATAAAATCTAATCTAACCGTTTTATAATAGAAATACAATTAAAAGTATTATATCATAATATGTAATTTTTTTTTTAATGTGGCCCTTTTGATGAAGAATTAATAAAAAAATGGCCCACGTGATTAAAAAGGTTACCGACCCCTGATCTAACACATTTTCTTTAAATATGACCAATGTTTATATCAAAATATGCCCAATGGTCGCTGATAAATTTATAGTCTTGAATACCAAATTTGTTATTTAGCAGCTATAAATAAAAATAATTACATTTATTTTAAATCTAGTCAATTGAATATCAAGTTTATAAGTATTTAAATTAGTATAGTACTAATTTGTCATCACTCAGTCAAATTTATTTCCATACTATATTTTAATTAAACACAAATGTGTATTGTATACTAACGTGGCATGTCAATTCTCAATAATTCTTCGCTTCATATAAGTAGAATAAATTGAATATGGAATTTATATGTTGTTATAATTTATAATATGTAGGTTCCATTAGCCTTTAGTGATTATACCGGTCTACTGGCCTTGTGGCTTGTAGACATTGGAAACAAAATTAGTCTGCTGAATAAGTTTAGTATACTTGCTCAAATTTTTAGACTGGTCTGTTGTTATTTTCTTACTATATTATCAAGATTGAATAAAAAGTGAAAACAATTCATTAATATTTACTTTTTAATATTTAATTTAGAAAATCAACAACAGGACAACGAAAAATATGATGAACAATCTGTGATTGATACATTGTACATAAAAGATTTATTGGAAACCTATTCAATGCAATCTAATTTGATCATTATGTAAGTAAACACGTACATTCTATCGATTTAAATGTATTTAATTACAATTATTTTAGTAAAAATAAACGAGAAAAACATTTTTTGTATTATTTATAGATCATCGTCCAAAACTACCGAAAAATTAGATCAAATACACATGTATTGGATGGAAGTAATAACTAGAGAATTACCACCTTGTATTATAATACATGGAAATACAATTCAAACTGTTACAGCTAGTGCTTAAATTTAAATTTATCATTTGTTTTATATTTTTTTTTCAAGTATTAAAATCTGTATTAAAAACTGGTTTGACGTAAAAATTCCCGTTTTTCCTTAATTTTTTGCTCATTTTTCCCGATTATCAAAAATAGTACTGTACATTTTTATTTTGACCTCATTAAAGTATAAACTAAATCCAATTTTCCATCTAAACCATTCTCAACGTTGAAAATCGTAGCATTTTATCGATTGTTCGTCGTGTTTACAGGCACACAAAAATAAAAAAATACACATAATCATTGTAAAATCTCTGCTCAGAATCTAGAATTTGTTTAAAATTGATTGATTAATACATTTTAGTTAATATATTAAAATTTTATAAGTTTTTTAAGGACTTTGTATTAAGTATGGGACTTTTTAACAAATACTCCAGAGTCCAGGGTCCTTTGTTATACTAAGCAGACACTGACTCAATTACAAACCATTTTAATAAATAGGTAGCAAATATTACCATCGTAGTTTATTATAGTTATCGTTTGAAATTAGAAAAAGAATAAATATTAACATATCAATTAAATTAATACATTTATTTGTGTATTATTATTTTTTTCGATATATTGAAGAAGATTTTAACCATGGTTTTAACTTGTTATCACCCTGATTATTATTACAAATAGTGTTAAAAAAAAAACCTATGTGAACCAAACAATATATTAAAATATAAACATTATAATAAATTATAAATAATATTATTTTAATTATAATTAGAATAAAAATACTATTTGTGATAGTTTATTGGCTAAAAAATCTATCTCAATATATCTATTCTATGTAGTATGTATCCTACTATATATTTCCTAACTTCGGATCACAATCAATAATGCTAAGTGCTCAATGGTTATCAATATAGTTGTATGCATTCATTCTAAAAGGCATAATTCTTAATATTACATGTAAATACATGTTTTTGTTCTGTGACATAACTAGAAAAATATATTATAATATTATTATTTTTCAATCGATTAGGTTAGGTTAGGTTAGGTACCTAATATCAACATAGTTAAAATATACATACAATCATCGACTAATACGTAATTATCTTATTGCTATAATATACAGAGTGAAATTACTCGAGTACTAATAAAACAAGTTGCTTTTATAAAAATTAAAAATACATAAATAGGTGATGGGAAATTTTGATGTCCAGTTCTCTCTATTTCAGTTAACACCTATTGAAAAAAAATCAATCGAAGCGTATAGGAAACAAGTCATTGTTGTGCTTTCCTGATTATTTTTGGTTTTTTTTTTGTATCGTATTATATTACTAGTTTTTAATTAAATTTTTTATTTCTCACTGTATTATAACTTTTAGAATGTTAGCTCGTTGTCTATTGCTTTTTGTTCATAAAATTCTTTTTTTAGATCAACCTTAGTTGTTAGCTTTAATTTTTATAATGATTAAATATTGATTAGCCAATACATAATTGATTCGTAATTGGATTGTATTCACCTGTAGGTGAGTAATATGCTTGTTTTTATTTTAAAAAACTTAACTAATTGACATGCGTAGTGACTGCAATATTTTTTGGCTATAATACCTTCATTTTTCATGCATTTCATTTATTTGTTAGTTGATTACGTGTATCATAGATAATTGTAAAAATATTTAATAAAAAAGTATTCACAATTTAAAATATTAAAAAAAAAATAACAATTAATTTTCTTATCATATATTAGGTACAGTAATTTTACATTTTATGGCTAGTTTATTTTGTTCATCTGTGTTAAAATTTGAATTATTATAACCTCTAGAGACATGCATACCTAGTAAAATATTCCATTGTTATTATCTATTTTAAAGATCTTGTGAACTTTTGCACTATAATATTATTATTCCCAATGTTTTTGTAGAAGTTATTTAATTAATTAAAATAATAACTCAATTATTATACATAATATAAAGCTCCATTTATTTTAATGTGGCAGTTACAATTTTGAAAGCTTAAAAACATGTCACAACACGCGGAAATTAAAAGCAACAGTCGTCCGTGGATTGATCAGGTACATATAATAAAAAACACTTTCTTATGTTAAATTTATTTAACATTTTATTGTTTGTAATAGCTGTACACTAGAAATTAAATTTTTATAAATTACAAATTTTAATATACACAATACGTTTACCTAGCTATGTTTATTCTGAGTGATTTTATTGAAATTAAGGTGTACTTATTAATTATTTCAACAGCAATGTTTTTTTTTTTTTTTGATAATATTTCTATTATATTTAGTTTAAAGTTCTTATTATTTATTATATTATAATTATTGCAAAAATGCCGTTTTTATTATAGTTATCTCTATAGGTTTTCAATATTAAAAAGCAACTAATATTTAATTTTATATATATATATTTTTTTTTTAATAAAATTAGTAAATAATCTACTCCACTAATTTTATTCAAACACAAAATTATTACATGAGTATAATCTAACTAGGTACTAGATAAATGTTGAGTATTTATACTTATATTAATATCTTAAAAAAAACTTCTTTTTCAGAATGTGAAAAAATACTTTCCATGAAAAAATGTAAAACTCTTATTGATTTATTATACTTATTATTTTAAATTATTATTCATACAATAATCGATCTTATTTTACTTCAAGATTCAATCATTCAATGAATTATATCGTGAAGAAGAAAACAAAATAGAAGTTAGTCCAGGAATAAAACTAGGATGGGTCAAAGGCGTGCTAATTCCATGTCTACTCAGCATCTGGGGTGTGATGCTTTTCTTGCGAATGCCATGGATTTTAGCACAAGCTGGGATATTTCATTCAATTATTATTATTTTAATTGCACTGATTATTATTCTAATCACCACTTTTTCATTGTCTGCTATCAGTACAAATGGAAAAGTAAAAGGAGGTATTATTTAATAATAATTAAAAATATCTTAAATATAATTAAAATTGCATTATTTATGATACGTGTACTATTCTATGTGATATTTTATGTAACTCAATTTATCCAACAATAATAATATATATTGATAATTCACAATTTATTCTATTTATAATTAAATATATTTTTTATATTTATCTACTTAAAAGAAAATTAGACAGAATTCAGAAATTGAATTATTATGCTTATTTGAATGCAGTGGAGACAGTAATTCGAAAATGATAATACTCCCAAAATATTCCAGAAAAATTTTAAAACGTTTTGATGGCGATTGTAGTTTTAAAATATTTCCAAGCTATTCGAAAAAATATGTATATAGATCCCATATTTAGTGCTGCACAATACCTTAGGATGGGCATCAACTAGTTAGGAAGTTTAAAGTTTTCTTTTGTTGATAAATTCTAATTTAACTAGTTATATTATTTATCAAATAACTGAGTAACTTAATTTGTTATATTCTACATGCATTTGTTGACAATTCAGTTAGTTATTTTTAATAGTCTAAGAACATAAATTAAAATTTATTTTTATGTACAACATTTAAAAAAATACTATAAGTGAATCGATGATTGCAAAAACGACACGAGTCACATTTTTTGTAAAACGTCACGAGTCAAAAAACTTCGAAAGTCAATAATAAAAAAAACATTATATTATTTATAAACACAAATTATGTATAATCAGTGCATAATATATTTTTACAAGTATTCATTTTTAAATAAGAATTTTTTTTCAGAATTATTTATATTATACACTTTTTATCAATTATCAAAAAGTTTTAAAAAATTGACTCATGTCGTTTTTGCAATCATCGATTCAATTAAAATTCAGCAAATTTGTTCAGTAAAAATAAATTACAACCAAAGTAATGAATAATGATATAAACAAATATTTATAAGATTTGTTCTTTTTATGTATAACCTATTTTATTAATAATAATTTGTTAGTTACTTTCATTAGATTTATCTAACTTTGTTGGTATTTTATCGATCAAATTGTAATCTGTCTAAGTTACTATGTTTTTACACCTTTAAATTTAGTAATAGTAAATTTAACTAATATTCTTATTTTAGCTACTTAAGAATTATTACAAACTTTCCCATATTTGATAATAGCCAAAACAGATTATGTTTAAAAATTATACGAAAAAAAGCTCCAATATTTTTTATTTACAATATATTTGTTAGGTGTGGAAAGAAAATAACTATTTAAGTAATGAGTTATATAAAACCAAAAATAAATACATTCTTAAATAAAAATTATTATCAATATTGTAATTTTAACGAACTGTTATTAGCTACTAAAATTTAAATTAAGGTTGTTTATAAGTTGATGAAACTTTAAAAATATTGAAAATATATAGGCACAATATTTGCCTTTTATCCCGCATCTTTGTCTTTTCTTAGTAAAAATATATTTTTAAGTTAGACTTAAAGATTGATTTATTATTATTTCATTTATCTAGGCGGTCTTTATTTTATTATTTCTCGATCAATTGGTCCGGAATTTGGAGCCTCAATTGGTATCCTTTTAGCATTTGCTAACACAATTTCTGCGGCTATGAACACTATTGGATTTTGTATGTCTTTAAGATCATTACTACAAGAAAACAATATATACATACTAAATTCAGTTTTAATATACAAAGGATTAGGAGTAGTCTCTATAATGATTATGAGTATACTTTGTTGTATCGGCATGGATAGAGAAGCTGAAGTCTGTATACGACTATATTACAAATTATTAAAGTCTTTATAAAATGTTTTTATTTCAGGTACAACATGCTCTTCTCGTAGCGATAATTGTCGGTATTTTTAACGTAATTGTTGGCTCATATATTGGCCCAAAAAGTATTATGGCAAAGGTATCAGGCTTCACAGGATTTAGCAGTAATATATTTCGTTACTATTTATTATTTATTGATTATTAATAGTAATTTAAACGAGTTCATATTAAATTTCAGTGAAAACCTTCAAAGAAAATTGGTATCCAGACTATAGAATTGATAACAACGTTCAACAATCCTTTTTTACAATTTTCGCAGTTTTCTTCCCATCTGTAACTGGTATACAAGCTGGAGCAAATATATCGGGAGATCTTAAAGTACACAAAACAGTGTTAATTCAATATAAAATATCATAAATTTAATATTTTTTTAGGATCCTAGTGCTTCAATACCAAAAGGAACATTATTATCGATCCTCATTACTATAACTTCGTACATTGTACTAATAGTAGTACCAGGAGCAGTTCAATTAAGAGAAGCGAGTGGTTATGAAAACGAATTTCAAAATGAAACGTATTTGGGTTGTGCTTTTAGAAATTGCTCTAAAGGATTATACAAAGATGAAAATGTTAATTATCAATACAATTAATGTGCATATTTATTATCCATGTGAATTAATATTTAATTTTTTTTTACATTTTTAGCTAATGCAATCAATTTCGTGGTGGCCAATTACTATATACTTCGGTTGTTTTGGAGCTACTATTAGTACTGCTTTAACTGCGTTGATATCTGTTCCAAAGTTGTTACAAAGAATGGGACAAGATGATATTTATCCACTTCTTAAATACTTAGCAAAAGGCTATGGAAAAAATAAAGAACCCTATCGTGCACACGTGTTTGCCATGATTGTGTCATCAATATTACTTATTATTGGTAATAAAAGAATAATTTAATTGTATACGTTATAACATTTTATTTTTTAGACAATTTTTAATGCGATTATTAATGATTATTGATAAGTTTCAAGAGAAAGTAGTACTTTAACAAATAAAGATCCTATGTTTCTATCTAAGTATAAATAAAGTATTAAATAGTATTGACTAATGAGTAAAAAATAAAGAAACTTATTACAATTAAGCCTAACAAATACTTACAAAGTAAAATATCTAAAATATTTTATCAGTTATAAGAAAAAATCATTTTTTTTTTTTTTGATACGAATTTATGACTTAGATTAAAACTATAACTATTTATGATACCACAATCCTGTACCAAAGTCGTGTTCTTACTTTTTATAGTATACATAATACATACCCCTGTGGCTCATTTACACTTTATATAACATAATTAAATACATTATTTTAAAAAAAAACATAGTTTAATAACACTACAAGATAGTAGCTAGATAGTAGCTAGGTACTTAGTTAATTAAATGCTTTATATTTATATACACTACACAGTATAATAATGTGGTAACTGCATTGCTAATTATATCATTACTAATGCATATTATTTGTATATTAAATCTATTATAATATTCTAAGCCTTTAAATTTAATTTTATATAATATATTTAATTAATACTCGTTGTTTGAATAACAATTTTTATTTTTTTAATGGATTTTAAGTGCTATTAAATTGTATTATACATGATTTAATATGGTTTAGTTTTTTTTAATCGCTTATTTAAAATAAGACATTAGGTAATAAATAATATGTCTCAAAGTATATTATGACAAAATTATATAATTAATTTAATCTAATTCTCTCAACTTCATAAAAATAAAAATACAATTTATTTTAACTAACAAAACCAAATAAAATTGTTTCTTCATTTTTTTTTTTTTTCAGAATCATCTAAAATGACTAATAATTATTTGACATGTATTTTTCAGGTGAATTAAATGAAATTGCCTCATTGATCTCAACTATTTATTTATCTGCTTATGCTATGTTAAATTTATGTACATTTCATATTGCATATTTTAAACCTTTGGGTTGGAGACCAACATATAAGGTATTTATCAATATGTTAATTTATGTATTTGTATAAAAATTTTATAAGAAATTATATTAGCTCAGCAGTTATAGATTATAATTATACAGAATAAACACGATAAAATAAATAAATATAATTATACTATTACATTAGCTGTTAAATGTTAATAACAGTGCTTTGTGGAATCATTTGAGTATTAATTGCTGCTGTAAGTTAGGAAACTCGATTTAATAACAGTTGTTAAATTGGATAGATATTTTAACAAAATTAATTCAGTGTTCAGATTTTGAAGTTAAATACTATAGGCTTAAAACCATAAATATAAATATTAGGAATACGTGACAGATTGCCTTGACGAGGAGTTTTGAGGAGAGTCTCATAAAATGTATTCAGTATATAGTTAACTGCAAATATTTATATTTTATAACAATTAAATATTTATTAATTATGTTTTTAGTTTTATGACAAATGGTTGAGTCTTGCTGCAGCTATTGTCTGCGTTTTAGTAATGATATTCATCGATATGAAAATGTCTGCAATTATTATTTGTGCTATATGTGTTTTATACAGAATTGCCGCTAGAAAAAAAAAGAGGTATGTTAAATTGCTTGTATTTTCCAAACTAATTAATTAACCGATTTTTTTATTATTAAAAATTATATTTAAATAGAGTGATAAATTGGGGATCTTCCAAGCAAGCACGACACATAAAAACATTTATAAAAAACGTATACAAGTCCAATACTATTCAATATCATGTTAAAAACTATTTGCCTAACTTAATTGTATTTTCTGGAAACCCTGAGTCGAGAAAAAAATTAGTTTCTTTAGCTCATTTGATTACTAAGAATTATGGTATACAAATGTGTGTCAACATTGAAAAGGTTTGCTATAAAAAATGTGTAACAATTTCATAAAAATATTAAAGTTATGGATATATTTTTAAAAAGATATCACTTACACCAAGACAAAAGAAAATACACCTTGATAAAGGAATTCAATGGTTAAGAAATTCTGGAATCAAATCCCTATACGTTATCCTCGATAACATCAAATTGGATTTAGCAACTCATATAGTATATAGCTGTGGACATGGTCAGTTTAAACCAAATATAGTAATGGTTGGATACAAGTCGGATTGGCTAAATTGCCCGTATCAAGATCTTCAAACTTATTTAAATATTTTCAAGTAGATACATTAATTTAATTAAAACTATACATATATTAAATATAATATGTTATGATGAATATTTTCGAATTAGTGTGGCAAATATGAATGGAATGTCAACAATCATGGTTCGTGTGTCATCAACTGAAGATTTGGAAAATCAAAATTTTTTAATCCAAGATTGTAAGAACTTAGATAAAAAAGAAGAAATTCCTTACAAAACGCAATCAAAACAAAATACGAGTAATCGAAATCAACAAAAGTATAAATAGTTTGTTATTATTTATTTTAAAATTATATTAGTTATATAGTTATATAATTTATTATAAGTTTAGACACTTGTTATCACCGGTGTATAATATATTTGTATGTCTGACCATTTGATTGATACGTTCTCGTGATTTTAAATATTAATAATTACAATGTATTAGAACAAAAAATATTTGTGGTAAAAATTTTAATAAATAGAAAATGGAATGGATTAGGTAAACAAAATGTATGATATTTATTTTCGAAGGAAATTTAATAAAAACGTATTCTATACAATATTTAAAAAAAATAATTGTTAAAACATGAATACATTCTTTAAGAGTTTAAAAAATTTCCTGTAAATTATAAACAAATGAAGTTATTTAATTTATTTAAGTTTCTATAGATAAAAATAAAAAATAAATATGTTTAATAGTTTAACTATTATTATAATTAAACACATTTTTTTTTTTTTTTTAATTATTTATAGGATTGTAGTTTAATCCTATAAATATATATTTTAATGTTGAAAATTTACCATAATCATAATATAGTGGCTCGCTTTGCTAATTTATCAATTATTGCACGATTAGTATGTAAAATGGCAAAAAAATTGCAGGGTGACTGATTGCTTTGTAAAAATAAAGAGCAAAGAATATTCATTCGACAAGAAGAAATCAAATCATGGGACAGTCGATGTGTGGTGGTTGTACTACGATGGAGGTTGGTATATAAATAAACTTACTTTTGTTTAAAGTAAATTAACTTATAAAGTTTATTAGCTATACAACTTATTGGTTATATAATAAAACTGTTTTAAATTTTAATTTAGGTTTATCGTTAATTATTTCATATATATTAAAACATAGGAATACATGGAAAAATTGTAAATTTCGAATATTTGGTGTTACCAACAAAGTTGAATGTTTATCCGAAGAAAAAAACAAGTAAAAAATATAGTTATCATTTTAGTTTTTATATTAATTATCATTTTTTATATCGTCCTTTGTGAAAATGTATTTTTACAAAATTGCAAAATGCCTCTCTGATACTCATTTAAATTAATTTTTTTTCTTGGACTGAGTGATTAAATAATACATACATAATATATTCCTCGTCTAAGATTTAATCTTTGCACCGTTTTTTATCATATTTTAAGATCATTTTCTGGAATATTGTTGAAACCAAGACTCATATATTAGAAAATAATTCATGTTTTTCCTACATTTATGTATCATAAAATATAAATACAAACATTATTTTGAAATATCTAATCTATATGTGCAAGTCTTGGTAATTTGGAGTAGGTAGGTAATAATTTTTAACACTTCAAAAGTCTGTAGAAGCCAGACTAGTTTTTTACTGGTGAGCTAAATCAATAGAGATCGTAATGATATAATCACATGTAAATTCTAATGACTAATATAAATTTAGTTATACAACTTAAGAGTTAAGGTATAATTTTTTTTAAATATTTTAATTTAACATATTTTTCTTTCCAAGTAATAATGCAAACTATGATCTGGTGTGGTACAATGGTTAGCCTCAGTCACTAACATGTTCAGAGGTCAAGTATTGTTCGGTGTCGCTAACTCCCGGATGGGTAACTACCCGGATTTTCAGTGATTAATCCTCACCACATAAACATGTTTTCCAAACCAGTTCCTTCCTCCACAGTAAAAAATAACTACAGACTAATAACCATTGCTGCTGAAGTTTAAATCTATAAATTAAAAAAAAAAAAAAAAAAAACAATGCAAACTGTTGTAAATTATCCGTTACATAGTAATACCTACCTAAAAATTCCATAAATAATAATATTATATTAAACACAAGATTGTGACGATATAATAGAATTTTTTTAATTTACAATACGCTATATAAGTAATAAGACAAAAATCTATATTTATAAACATATATTTTTCAGATTAAAAAAATTACTATCATTGTATCGAATTGATTTTGACTATTTGGATATAATTTTATCAAACCCCACTGATATTACAACAATGACATATTTCAATTCTGTATTGGAACGCACATCTTCTAAAGGTAACTTGTAATTTTGTTATACGTTAAATTATCTATAATATATACATATATACCCGCATGTGACATTATTACAAAACTTTCCAACCACAACCCATATATTTATAAATAATTTCAAAAAATAGTGTAGGTACATTTCATATATTTTAGCTAATAAATAATTATTTTTTATCATATCGGCAATGTGTAATTAAAGAATCAACTATCCAAAAGGCAAAGAAACTTATTATAATAACTTGAATTTGTTTTCTAGAGAATCAATTTTATGAGAACAATTTACAAAAAGAACGTATTTCTGAAACGTTGTTTTTAAGAGATTTAATTGAATTGCATTCGTTTAATTCTGATCTTATCATCTTGTAAGTATGGTAAAGTTTATTTTTTATATGAAAGATTGATTTAAAAAAAAATAATAATTTTCAGAACAACTCCAAAAAATAATGAAGAAATCAATATATTATTCATGTGTTGGATAGAAACAATTTCTAGAGGATTACCACCATGTATTATCATCAATGGGTGCACCGATTCAGTTATTGCCACCAATGCTTAAGCCATAAATATAAAATGCATACATTATACTTTATACTAGTATACAATCATGTTCTCTTAAATTTCCTTTCATATTAACGTAGATAGTAACTATTTATTTATTTTTTTGCTTACGGCTTGATTCAACTGAGAGCATTTTCCAAAGTTCCAATCTTTCATTTCATACGCAAAGTCCCTTAATCAGTTTCTTAGTTGGTATTTTATTACATAATTTAAATTTTAAACATGATGTCAAAAACTTAAAAAAAATACTTTTAAATTTGCATTGATCTGTATTAAACAAATCGAAAATATCAAAAATAAAACATCGACGAGAAGTTGAATGTGCTCCAGATCTCAATATTTAACATTAAAACTGTCTATAGGACTTAATGAAACCAACGCTTCAGTATACACCTGCAAGAAATTAGTAAATTATATAAAATTATTAATTATTTTATTCGCATAACCTAACCACTTATAAAAATAAAACAAATTTTTTTCTATTGCCATTATGGAATTCTGTATTTTAAATTATAAAATTAATGACAAAACGCAATATAAATTATTTATTACACATTTATTGTGTGATACGTATTATGTATAGTTTTACAAAAATGAGCATAGCAACACTTATTTAACAATTATACTACCTAGCTCGTTAAACAATACAATTGTTTGTTACTTATTAGTTAAAAATTATGATTATTGATAACTAATGTTAAATCATACACATTCTTTATTAATAAGTATTTCATTCTTTAATAATATTACAACTATTGCAAGTATAATTAAGATACACTGTTAAAGTGTTAAATATGTTTATCTTATATTCTAATCTTATTCGTTCATTTTAATATTAAATTACGAGTACATATATTGTAATTTATACTCTCATTTTGTGCACTAATAATATCTTTACAAAAAAAAATCTGTTTTTTTTTTCATTGCTTATTTTATTAAGATAAAATCCGAGTTTAATTATGACTCTAATCTTTAAATTATTAATAAGTATAGGATTTTTCATTCGTAGATAGCACAATTTAAGATATATATTTTTATTTTAAATCGTGATAAAAATAGTATTACTAGAAACATCACGTTTTAACTGTTTTATCATACACGATGTTGATAAGCCACGAAGATCCAAGTGCTTTACCACGCTTTGATTATGGATGTCGTTTAAAAGTAATGATAGGTTCGTCTGTTATTAATGTTTGTCGTATTCGTCGGCTGTAATAAAGTAACAATAATTATAAGATATCACAAAATAGGACAACAAACTCTTATACGTCTACACGTCCTAGGCCCCTATCTGTTAAGTAAAAAGGAAAAGTAGAGCTACATCTTGAATACATCCACGTGTATCACTGTATCCGTATAGTTATATACCTTCTGGTATTTTTCTCAGATGTCTTTTGAGTGTTTTAGCATTTAGATGATAAATATTGTTTTTTAAGATAATTGAATTTGCTGATCATGTCCTATGTGCTCGCCCAATGTACAAGGACTAAAAGTGGCCAAGACCGTTTAATGTTGTACGTTTTCTAATTAATACTTATTTCGAATACGAATAGTTTTGATATTGGCAAAATTATGAATACTGTTAAGCGCTAAGAAGTACCTATCTATTTTTTTTTTATAAACATTATTATTTCGTTAAATTTTATTTTTCGTTATTAAATCTCATTGTATTTTTCATATACTCTGTTTCTATTATTTGAAGTGATATATATTATAATTATCTCACCAGCTATGTAGTTATACAATGTAGATAGCTAAATGAGAACATTGTATATAGGGCTGCTGTTACGAAACACTCCGATGGTTTATCTTACCCCACTATTATTTACGCTATCTATTGAATTTATAATGTAATTGGCTGCTATATTCTGTTTAACAGTGACAGGCTGCTATTGAATTATACATATATTTTTTTTAATATTCTAACGTTAATAGGTACTTATGATTTTCAATGGAAATTTAATCAAAAGTGAGCTGTTATAATAAGTATTTTAAAAGCATTGACTGTAATAATTAACTTCGTACACAAATCTAACGAAAATAGTAAATTCCTCCGCAAGAAATGTGACGTTCGATAATCAAACAGCTTCTGTTTTGCTTTATAGTTTGTATTAAAAATGCAACAGTACTCAATAGCAACCGTATTGAATCTATTTTCAAACGTTACAAATTAAAAAACTTTAAGAAAAATGAATATTTCCGAGTTTTTAATAATATAGTACTCCTGAGTAAAATACTATAACGTTGAAATAAATAGATATTAATAGGTAATATACAACTTTTTTTTCAATTATTATTGATTTTCTCTGATACGTATTAGACGGCGCACTTTGTTGGACTATAATTATAAGCACAAAAGCTCATTTCCAACAGTAGATGGAAGCACCTGTTAAGCGTTTTAAAATATGCGTTTAATATTATACTATTGCCAAAGTATTATTAAAATATTACTAAATAATATCGTAATAATTATCCCAAACGTCCCAAATATTAAACAACCCTTAAAAACCGTCGATTGTTATCACCCGTGCGATCACTACCTATACATCCGGCGGTTGTGGTAATTTTTTGATCACCGAATACCGAAAATAAATCAGATCAGATTCCATTCCCAGCGGATATAGGTACTCGTGTAATGGTGTAATATATTATGTAACGCACCATAGTATTATATTAAAATTATTAATCGTTGTTTTTATATTATAATAATATTGTGACGTATTCGACGTTCGTTGTTGTAGACGTTTACACGGGCACGTATGGTATTGGGGGGGCGGCATACCATCATCGCCATCACATCAACATTATCCGTTACGACGCGGACTGGCGCGGTAGTTATAAGTGTAGAGAGCAAAAATGAGATTGTTCTAAAAATAAACATCCTGTTGACCTTGCGCCTTTAACCATCGTGAGAAAAGAGTAAACAACATTACTCACCGTCGCGTAAACCATATCATTATCGTTATTATTATTATTATTATTATGTGCTGTGGCCCGTGGTTCTTCAGACGCCTCGCGCGGTGACCCCCGTTGTGGTCTATCCCCCCCGGCCCCCCCCCCCCCCCAAACACTACTGCCGCAACAATTTGTCACCGTCATTGTCGCTCTCCTGTGACCAGCATTCAGCCTCGTCATTCTCACTCTTACGCACGTTAACTTCGTATACGTCGCTCTTAAAACGTGCGACGTGTACACATTTCATGGCGTCTCCTGTATAGAAATACGTATAATAATATAACGTAATAACACACTTACTGTGCAGTTGTGCAGACTCGAGTATTGTGTACGTTTCGTGCACGATCTATATATACACGTCCAATATGCCAAGTTTAGACCGCATGTGCAATAATACGTTCCACAATCCACAATTAGTTCAATAGGCAGCAAACGTTTTTCCTTCCTAATTCCTATTATACCTGCGGTGTGTTTCCTCTGTATATAGTGTGTGTTGTACCGCGATCGGTCTAATTTCGGACCGCCGCGTACGTGTTTAGTGTACACCGTACACCTTTGGGCCACAGCGATAGTAGTAAATTGTCGTAGAACGCAATCGGACAAATATGTGAAGGTGATAGCTGTGAACGATTAAAGTAAACGGTAGACGGCGTTGAAAGTTTACGACCATAATAGTTATAGGCGCGGAATCGTAACGTTTATTTTCATTATTGTTTAGTCGTAACACTCGTAACCCCAAAAATAATGGTCTAGAGACTCGAAATGCTAACACTTGTCAACAAATTTCTAAAATGTTGAAAATACTAACACTGTATATAACATAACCCATAAACAATGGAACTGAATTTAGAATGTTTTAAATGCTTTGGGATTTAGATGCTAATAGTTTGGTCCTGAATTCTTAACATAAAAGAAATTCAAATTGAACTTTAGAGACCTTATTACTTAAGTACATAATATACAACCACGTGATGTTGTATTTATTTCTGTAAAATATAATTTTATTTATTCCTATCAGTTCGGTCAATTTCGTTAATATTTCGTTTAATAAAATAATAAATTCCATAAAAAAAAAGTAAAATATTATAACGGTAAGACAGATGAGGGTATTGGATTAAGGCCCGCATGGATCTGTTTACCACCAAATACTCAAGTCCCCGAAATATTTTACAGGATATCCGCCTATGAGAAGTAAGTAATAATAGGCATCAAAGTGGAAAATGTAATAGTTGTAACTTGTTAGTATCCACTATCCACTGTATTAATTTTAACATCACGACGTCGGCGCCGTCCTATAAATACGCGAAGGTCCGTTTTATTAGTACACATTAAAATTATAAAATTATTCATATATTTATTCTAACGCCATAATAATAAACTTTTCATATTACGTTGCGATCGCAAAATACTAACTACTGTAGCCTTAGTTTGATATGAAGAAAAATGCGTTTGGCATTGAGACACAACATATAAAATCCACGTTTGATATTCAACGTTTCAACAGTGTGTGTTTGCAAACAAAACCAAAAAATAAACTGTAAAAGGTAGAACAATTTATTATAATTTATAACCTTTCGAGTATCTATAGATACTATTGCATCATTTTTCCATCAAACCAGAAAACCAAACGATTTATGTATCACTCCTAACCGGCTGATCCCGTGCGTGTTATGCTTTAACATATATTAAAATACATTTTTATTATTTATACAATTTTTTCAAATGAAAAAATTATTTTTAAAATGCAGAATCTGTTTAATTGCTGTGCGATTTAAAATCTCTATTGTTAGGTAAGTACAGAAATATCCATCGTGCCAAATCGCTAGACATTCTTTTACTGTTTTTTATAATACACGGTGCGGGTAATATAAATGTCATTTTGCATAATTTGTACGTCTGTCCTGCATAATGCGTTTGTATACATTATACCCTTAACGGGCTGAACGACAATTCTATTATTGTTAATCTAAATGGATTATAAAAGATCTTCTTAAAGCAATATATTATTGTGCAGTACGACTGTCACAACAGAAAAGTAATACTAAACTTAAATGTAGAAATAAAAAAATAAAAAACAAAATTATACAAAAATGTTATATTACAAGTACAAGTGAATGAAATGACATTGTTAAAATTACATGTAAAACGACAGTAAAACTAAAGTTATAACTTATAAGATACTAAAAATGTAGGTAAATAAATCATGTTACTTAATACATAAATAAGTTTAATTGCCTTTTTTTTTTAATGAAATATCAAATAAAATAAATATAATGTAAGCCATTGTCGTATTTTCATAAAAAATCCAAATCAACTGTATATTATTGTTTTCATGGTTAAATCGTGGATTTAAGGAAGACTGCTTTCATCTTTGAAAAAATAAAAAAATAGTATCACAACAATAAGTTACAAATATTAGAGTAGAGAACAAATGAAAAAAAAAATAACCAAGAGACAGAGAATCAACTATTTAAATTAAGAAAAAAAACCTTTGATGACAAAATGTATTAGGTATGAA